ATTTTTATTAGACAGATATTTTCAGAAACTACTACACCGATTGTTGTCAAATTTTATGTCGAATATATAGGGCATATCGTATAGATTCTTACACTAGTAAGGGTTGATTTCACCAACCTCAGTTAACGATAGAATAAATCCATAGAAACGATTGTTTCTAACTGTTCATTAACTTAACTGAGATTGGTGAAATCCACCCTAAATGTTATTTAAATTTTATAAAACCACACTCCTCCATTAATAGTTTATGAATCCATGTTGAGTGTTTACCCTAAACATTCAGATTTTTAAAATGGTGTAACAACATTTTACAATTTAACTTTGAAATTATAAAGCCGAATGGTCTGAAACTTTGCAGACGTTCTAAGGTCACAGTTAAAGGTTAATCAAAATTTATCCATTCCAACTCCCCTTATAATATCCCAAAAGTTTGCCGAGTAAATCGTATCTAAAATGTACAAAATATGATTCAATTTATTTTATTAATTAAATCAGGAACACCTTTTTGCCTAAAATTTGAGAATACAATACTGTGTGGTCAATATTTAAACAGCCATGCGTTCTTCTGGAGAGTCCGCGATCGCCGCTTTCGAGGTTGTTGTGGAGTCCGCGATCGAGACCATAGGCGTCGTATCTTTATTTTAATTTATAAGGGTTCTCATAAAGAAATAGAATTCGCAAAATTAAATATTATAATATTTCGAAAAACCTGGCTATATTTTATTGTACTTCAGCAACGTATATTTTTGTGCAGAAGCGAAGAACATTCGTCGATTTCATCTAGTTTTTATAAATAAAAAAAAGTCCCAATTTTACCAGTTGGATAAGTGTGTGTTGACTCAAGGAGCTACCCTATACACAAACAAGCAACTACTAAACCTCGATCGAGATGAAAAAATACCACTCGACTCTCGCTCGCTTATAACGTGACACCGACACGTAAACTCGCGGCAAAAGCGCTACTTCCATCCAATTATAAACATCCCTCTTTGTAAACAGCCTCACCAGGTATCATCCCGCCTCCATAAATCTCTCATTTTAAATTGTCACCCTTCTTCTTGATCAATTCCAAGTAGCGCCCCGTCGCTGCCGCCACCTGCTCCCCTCTAATTAACACCGGAACTGATCAGCCATTTCCTCTGTCATCTCTGCGTCTGATACGTGCGTGTCGCTGTCAGCCAGCAATTTTTTCCCCCACATTATTATTAACTCGACGTCATCCCCGAGAGCTTTCGTGAAGAGCTTTATATTTTTCCATCTAAAAAAAAAAAAACAAATCGAACGCCCGTTAATTCGCGGTCAACGCCGCACGGAAACCCAGATTTGTACGCACGGCCCGTCCATTAGCGAGGGGCTTTCTTCGCTACGAATGACACACGGCCCTCCTAAGTGTCTGCCAAGTTGACGTTTCATTAGTCGGAAAACATAAATCATCGCGTTAATTCTGTCACGGCAGCGATTTCTGTTTCCGCAGCGTTTCATTGTTCGTCCCTTGTACGTTTAATCCCCATCGGTGAAATAAATTCGCCTCGTCTAATCCAGGTTCGGAATTTAATAAAGAATGTTGATTTAGATTTGTCGGGGTGTTTTTTTTTTTTGGTGAGCGAAAATTTATTTACGAGCAACTTTTAACTTGAAACAAAAATAACAAACGGGCCAGGTGTTGCGAACAGGTGAAGCGAAACAACTCGAGAATGTTTTTCTCGAGTGTGCAACTCTTGGGGCTTTGTAATTTCGCAGGAGTGCCGGGAATGGCAGAAGAATGAGAAATCAAGATGTTGATGAAGGGGCGGAACTTGTCGGGACGCGTAATGGATGTTTTAACTTCGGAGTAATTGGTTTTTGTTAAATCATTCGAGATGCCGGGAATTTATTGCGGGAACAATCGGGGAGAGGGTTGTATTGTGGAAGGTATACAGCGAGCGCAGCGAGCGAATTTGCGTAATCGGACGTGGTTTTTGAACGTTTCTTTGGTCGTGGAAACTGAAAACCGTTTTGAGGATTGTCTAGAAAGGAAATATTTATTTCTCTCGGTGGATCTTCCGCCTCTTGTATAAAAGATGGCCATAAATCCGGAATCAGTTCAGGTGTCGCCCCGTCGCCTCGCCCCTCCTCCATTTTTCATCTCTTAAAAGTTCGAAACAATCTTCATTGTTTACCAAGCACTCATAACCAAAACGAGAAAGTTTACATAATCGGCCTAACTGAAAAGAAACAAGTCGAACAAATCCCTTTGTGTATTTTTATTTTTAGTCGCTCGGCGAAAGCTCTTTTAAAAATCACACAAACAACTCTTTCTTTCCCTCGAAATTCATTAAATGTTAAAAGTCTTACTCCTTCCAGAAGCTTTCATCAATTGATAAGGTCCACGATTTGAGAGCGAAGAAAAAACTCCCCGAAGAGAAAAACGTCAATTGATAGTTTTCCGAATAAAGGAGAATTTAGCTCGGGGGCTTTTTATTAATGGAAAAGTTGCGAACGTTTTCCAAAGAAAGTTCGCCATCCAACTTGTGCATTAGTGGAAAATAAACAGCGGGAAGGAGGCGATCGTGCGAAATGTAAACGAATTATGAACATGATTAGGCAGAAAATCGACACTAGTCGGTCGTGTGCCGTCTCGAATCGAGCTTTTGTTCGCCGGTATCCATTATTCCCGAGCTTAGCGCGCCCGCTCTCCAAACTAATTATCATCGGGTAATTGATCTCCGGCACATATTTCACCGGAATCGGCCGCCGTTCGATTCCGGTGCGTGCGACAGAGACGCCAGAGTCCGGGCGAAATCCGGAATACCGTCTTTTCTCTGCGTGTTTGACTTTGTTCCAAGTTGGAGCGCTAATTACGCCGCATTTTCAAACATTCCCGTTTCTTTTCAACGAAGTTGATACTGCGGCGCCAGCGCTGCTGCTAATCCCCGCTGATGAAAACTCGCAGTCCTTATTAATTAGACTTCTAAATACTGGGGGACGGGGCTGTCGAGACTTTTCGCAATCGGTTCGGACTTTTCGAGCGGGTTAATTAAGACACCTGCTGTCTGCGACGAGATAGCACTTTTTATTCTAATTAGGAAGTTGCGACGGGCTGAGAGTTGTCGCAGACGGATTTTGGTGCCGTGACCAGTATACAAAGTCCAAATGAACGACAGTGTGGCAGTTTACTTTACAATTTTCTGTCTTGTGGGACGCAAATAATAATTCCTCTGCTCTCCACCAGATGAGGCACTTTTGCGCTCGCTAGTGACCTTCCTCACCGGTGTTCACCCCAGCTAAACAGAATTACAGTTTTCAACCCCTGCAAAGTTCGTCGGGTTCGTGCCTTCGCTACCGGTTTCTCCCTTCGTGGATCCACCCCAAACGGGGTTTTTGGCTTTCGCCACTAGGTGGCGCTTCCTATTCCAGCCTGGATTCACCTTCCTCATGACTACCTAATTTTTAATCGAATTATGTTTTTGGCATCCTGCTGCCGTACGTGCGGGATGTTTTCGACACGTCCCGCTTGATGGCTCCCCCCACCCCCCTAATTAATTTCCCGAGACGTCGATTTTCCTTAGGTTAACATGTTTGTGGGCTAATTAGCCCTCTCGAGCCGGAAACGCAACTTTGTTCGCACAGGTTTTTGATTCCTTTGAGCTTTGGGCGCGTTCCTTTTTTGCCTCGTGCATATTAATGACGAAAATTAGCTGCCGCAACGAGCGTCTTGGCGCCCGCCCCCGGACCGTCCTCACCGCCGCCGACGCCAATTCCCCGTTGACAGGTGAGATTTTGTTATTGTTTGGTGGCGATGCGTCGACCGGGGGATTAGAAACGACGTCTTCAGCGTGTATTCTCATGTGTCATGAATATGTAGTAGGGCGAACGGTGTTTATTATTATTCCCCATCATCCATAATGCTCCTGGGTTGAATCACGTGATTGTTGTTGATCATCCGGGGCTTTCGGGGTGTCTTCACCTTGAAGAGGACCGTGATTTATGTTGTGTCGAGTTTTGGGGGCGATTGACGGCGCTAAAGGGTCCGAGTTTCGTAAAATTAAAATTTACGGCGATCGAGGCCGGGGATTTTACGAGGGTCATTATTTCGAAGCACACTTTTAGTTTTTTCTAAAACGGCGTAATCCGGGCTATCTGAAGCCGCGCTACCTGCACTTACCTCGTCCATTCATCAAATAGGACCATTTTACGGTTATAACCGCTGTAAAAAAAGTCGGCAGCAACTTCCGGAGGTATTTTAATCCCGATATGAAATAAATCCGGCGGAAGTTCGGCCGTAAAAGAAAAGTCTTCGAAATTCCGGAGGATAACATTTCTCGACAATTACACCTCAAAAATCTATAGTCCTGTTTCTGGGGCAGGAGCGCTTAATATATGCGGGCCGGTGTCTCTTGCCCTTAAAAGCTGTCGCCGAACCCTTGCCTCCCGCGAGAGCAAATCCGTGTCGCAATCTCACATACACCTCCCCGAGTCCTGTACCTTCCAACTTTTGCCCGTGAATTTCGTCTCGATCGACCGATTGGACGTATCTCGATCGTAAAAAAGCCGAAAGGTCAACCTTCGCAATTAAACGAAGAATGTATAAAAATGGCGGGCTTGATTTCGGGCTCCGTTAACGCGTAATTTACTGCGTAATTGCTTAGTGGAAGAGGAGCGAAATGGGGAGGGAGAGAATGTCACGGATCAGAAGCTGCCCCACTTTTAAGTTTCACCAGAACAGTCCTTGCCGTCGTCGCCTCGGGGCTCGTGTTTTTATTTTTCGCAACGTTCAGATGTTAACTGCTTTTTGATTACTTTTAAACACGGTTAGGGGTGTTAATTTTCTTTGACGGCGGAAGAGGAGTGGACTCGATTTATTTAAAAGTGTCATTTGGGAAGTTGGATTTTTGTTTACGAACGGCTCTGACATTCGCAGGATTGTTTAATTTCGTTAAGGAACGATTTTAACTCGTAATTGGTGCCGCGACCAGTATGACAGTCCAAGGTCGCGGAAGAAGAGAAATCAAACGCTAGTCTGTTTCGAATACATTTATTTCTGACATCGAGATATAAGATTGTTTTATGTCTTAAAAAATTAATTTCTCGGTTATAACCTATTATTGCTGATTGCAACTGGCCGATTGTTACAAACTAACATCACATTTGTTCAGAAAGAGTCCTGGAACCCTTTGTCACGGACATATCCTCCGCAGGAATGTGTCCCAGTACAGAGATTGTCATTTTGTCATTGGTACCATACCGATACAGCTACAGAATAAACAACATCGAATGATATTTTACAACACATCTTTGGTTAAATCTGAAATCGGTAGTCCGGCTCGCAGCCTACTACACCTACTTCGAATAAGTACTTGAGAGAGATGAGGGAGACAACGAAGATGCAACAGTCAAAAAGTCTTTTCTCTAACAGTCGTGGTCGTCGTACGAATCGTCTCTTTCTCGGAAGTTCGTCGATGGCGTGCGCACGTACGAGGATTCCGTGGAGGCGGGCGTGAGCAGCGGCGTCCCCTGGAGACTTATGGCCAGAGGAAGGGCCGACGGGGTGCAGAGACTGGCGGCTCCGCGGTTCTCGTTGACCGACCTGTACCGCACCGGCCGCGACAGCCTGCAATCAAAATTAGCCCACTTGTCCGACTCGACTGCAGCCGAATACCTCTGACACCTGCACAACAGCAGCCTGATGAAGGCCGCCCGAAACGTCTTGTTGAAGACGGTGTAGATGATGGGGTTGATCGTCGAGCTGACGTAGCCCAGCCACAAGCAAACCACTTCGACGTGCTCCGGAACCTTGCAGTCCGGACAGGCGGCGAAGATGATGTTGAGGATGAAGAACGGCGCCCAGCAGAGGACGAACGTGAAGAACACCAACCCCAGGACTTTGGAGGCCTTCTGCTCGGTGGCGACGCTGTTGGCCGCCAGCGTCTTGCGCTTCACTCGCCCCGCCAGCAGTCTGCAACGGAACAGTTGGGCTTAATTAACGGAAACAAGCGTCGATTGTTGTTGCATCTACCTGCGCGCGTGAATTTAATCAGCCGTCGTTGTTGTACAGGGTCATTATAAAATATTGTAGTCAACTCACCTATGAAAAACAAATGAAATTTTTCTCGTGCCGCTAATCACCAAAATGATTTGAACTGTTTTGAAATGTCACGAACGTCCAAACAAATCTGTCAGATGTGTCAAAAATTGAAATGCCCGGTTCGCGGTTTAATTTCATTTTAAATAGGCACGAAAAGACGCCAGGCCAGAGCATTAAGGGTTGCAGTGTTATCGAGCATTTGTGAACGCCACTGCAATACATTTCAGTTTCAAAAATTGTAAATTGTCAGAAAAACGTTTAAGGGCTTTGTCATGAATTACACCTTGGAAAGTCGATTGGAGTTGAACAGAATAAATCATCTGGTCTGTTTTGCAAAGAAGCAATAATTTTTCAAATAATGAAATCCAAAAAGTGAGGTTAAGTTTGTCGAAACCAATGAACACGGTAATTATTTAAAAAATTACATTTTTATAGGTACCCTGAAGGTAAAAATTGTGAAAAATCACGTAATGGACAATGGCAGAGCAAGTCTTATCACAGTTAACGAACACTATGAGTACCTAATGAGTTTTTGCAGTAAATAATTTTGCCAAAGTTGTGAAAGTTCTGTTTGTAAATTGTAAGGAATCGTCAAAATATTGGTGCAGACATGGTTTGTGACCGGTGCTTTTCTCTTGAAAAAACACAACTGAAATCCTTGATCTTCATCCCTACAATAGGTGAAAACTGCTATGTCCAAACATTACCTTCAGCTTTGCAGTTTCTAGATATCTGAAACATGCCAGATCTGCATAACAGGAATGTCAAAGAGGTTCTACCCAAAACACGCCCACATGGCCATCCTAATATCAAGATTTTTCAAAATTTCTATAAGAAAAAAGATGAAAAAACCAATAAAATTTCAGGAGCATAGTGTTAAGAGTTCTGTAGCTGATTATGAGATCTCTTGAAACAACAGAATGTTTAATAAAGATTTTTAACTTCCCTAATAGTAAAATTACAATTATTACTAAACAGTAAGTTGAAGTAAGTTTTAAATTAAGAGAATGCAACTAACACCGAAAGAAAAATGAAAGTTATGAAAATAAAAAACTTTATTGCAGTACCTACATACACTTTCTACATCTAATTTTGTTTATTGGTCACATTCATTTACTTGAAAAAGTATCAGGCCTATGAATCGTCGTCTGCTAACCACACACCAACCTTCATTGCGTGTGATGGTGTTTCTTCAAAAGCGTGAGTATTTTCTATACACCAAATTCTGAAGTTCTGTCAGTTGACATAATAGCCTAACAGATGAAACCAGGCTTCATCAGAAAAGAACGACAAATCGAGAATCCCGTTATCGTCCATATCAGCTTGAAACCAACTACACTACCCAACGTGGCAAGGAAAATCAGCTGGTTGCAGCTCCTGAACCAACAAAATCTTGTATGGATGCATATGTAACTTCTCTTTTACGATTTTCTGACATGGGCTGTATGGTACTCCGGACAGTAAAGATTTTTGACAAAGCTTTATTCGGACTTTGTTCCATTCTCATCCTTAAATCTTCAACAACGTCTTCACTAACTTGAGGTCTCCCCGTCGGTTTTCACTTAGAAATGCTACCAGTGTCGTTAAATCTGGCCATAATTCGCCATATAGCGTCTTCAAAGATTCTTCATCAATGACAACAGAACATTTCACTAGATACTCGTTTTTAGACGCCTCCACAGAGTACACTCCATCCCCATCCCCATTTAACACCCCATTACGGTAATAGGCATGATGATTGCGCCAAAGAACTAAAAAAATCATTTGTAACACTGACCATAGTTATTCCTCTCTGTTCATTACCTGAGATTATTCCACAATGATCTGTAGTTTTGATAAAAACTGTTTTTTGAGACACTTATTAAAGTTCTAACAAAGCGGAAGACAGCAAAAATGAAAACAAGACAAGTCAATTAACGCACAAAGTGAGGGAAAACGTACCAGTACAAACGAAAAAATTATTGACATCTGACAGAATTTGATGAAGCGTTGAAACAGTGCAGCCGCTAATGTCAACTAATGTGGCGCTAAAAATAAAAATTCCAATATTAGTGTAATCCTTTCCACAAAACTGAAAAAGGCGGCACAAAATGTCACCAAAATCATGGCCTTCTTCGACTACAATATTTTATAATGACCCTGTATAATTCGACTTTGTGCCGGTAATTTGATCATTTCTGACGCGGTGAAGACGGAACGCGTTGGGTGGAAGCGAAGCTACGGTCCGAATCGAGATGTTTGTCGCGGAAATTTCGCGTCCATTAAGCAAACTTTCGGCAAATACCGTCGATAATGCATCCTGAATCCTGTCATCAAACGGCTGTTAATAGCGCTCTCTATTGCTGTAATCTGTGGATCCGCATCCGAGACGTTCATTAAGGGCCGCTCGACCCCTCAGCCGCCGTCGACGGAACTCGATGGAATGCATCCTTGCAATTTACGTAATTGGAGGCTCGGAGAGCATCCACTCGGCGATTTTGCGGTCGAAGGAAGAGGATGGTGACGCCAGCGAGAATTGTCTTTGACGAGCACGAACAAAAACGAATTTCGTCATTAATCGCGCGACGCAGGTTTTTTGCGTTTTGTTGTTAATTCGTAATCCCACGCCCAACAAAGTGAATACAAAATCCGGATTATCCATAAAAAGAAACAAAGTCGGCCCTTTTTTGTCTTCGGAGTTCGGAAAAGACACAAGCCGGCCGTATTAGCGTCAGCGAATCGTGTAACTGTCAAAAACTCCGAATGGCCCATTGTTAACTCGATTCGGGCGAATTATCGACACCCGCCAAGCAGCGCGGAAAAGATTTCACACTCGAACACGTCATCGTCAACACAACTTCTCCCGAGGTTTGTCTAAGGATAACGACGGACCCTCGGAACAGGGCGAACTTGCTACCGCAGAGATAAGCGGGATTTAAACCTCCGTTTTGGGGCGCGTTAATGCCTCTAGGAGCGGGTTTTGCAGGTGAGCCCCCAATTTCGAGGAGCGCGATCGAATATATGGCTTTTTACGGTTTTATTAAACGCGCCGCTTTGATCGGTGCAGCATGACGACGACAAGCCGCGGACGCTTCCCTAATCAGTCAACAACGAAACCGATTGTTTAGCGTACGCAACTGATTCGGTTCCGCTGGCTTATTTTTCGAAATTGGATTCAGTGGAACACGCTCTTTATCAAATCGACTAATTAGCTGCGACGTTAGAAGAAGCCGCTCGATCGAGCTTCGGCCTTATCGAAACTTTCCGCATGTGTTGGCCGTCACATATTTATGAAGGATGATGTGGCCTTACACGTTACTTACCTAAAATTCGACAAATTCGACGGCACGTTGTTCAGCTGGAGCTTGAGCGACCTGAGTTTGCAGTTCCTCGTCTCCCTGGCGATGTTCTCGGGGGTCTGCGTGCTCTGGTCCTTCCTGCTGCCCGGCACCGATCCGGCGTCGCTGCCCCCGTTGGCGTACGAGAGCTGCGTGTGCGACGTGCTTATCCTGATGTTGGCGGACCTGGCGGCGTACGACAGACACTCGTTAATCGCAAGGATTAGCGCAATTTCGGCGGCGGCGACGATAACGCAAGGAAAAAGAAAGCGTTCCCCGGATCGTCCTTTTATCAGACGCGGATTTATTGGCGCCGCGATAAAAGGACAGATGGCGAAAGCGTGTTTGTGGAACTTGTTAAATCAACCTGGACGAAAGTAGGAGCCCACCTCTCCCCGGAACCGGCGGTCCTCCACATCGGGGTGCGCTCCTTGGGCCCGAAGCGGCCCCCGAGCCGCCGGAACTGGTCGTTCTCGGGGTGGTCGGCGGCGAAGCGGGCCTTCTTCCGCAGGAGCTGGACGGTGAGGGCGTACGACACGACCATGATCACCATGGGGATGTAGAAGGCGACCAGCGAGCCGAAGACGAAGAAGGCGCGGTTGTTGATTTCGCACCACTCGGGCTTGGGCATGATGTTCTTGTTGTCGATTATGCCTGCGATGATCATACGTCAGTTTCTGTCATAGCGTGATTGAGTCGTTACCTAAGACGGTGATTGAGCTGGAGACGAGCATGGCGAGCAGCCAGGCTAGCGCGATCCGCACGACCACCGTCCGCGTGGTGGTGCTGTGCCTCGTCTTCAGAGGGTTCCTAATTCCTAGATAACGACCGAGACTGATGAAACACATGTGCATGATGGAAGCGGAACAGGCGAGGACGTCGCACGTGACGTATACGTTACACCAGACCACGCCGAACGGCCACTTACCTGCGAAGAAAACGATATTAAGATTTTTTGGGTGTGCGCCTCTCGGGTACGCAAGATTTATGGTTGCGGAGGAGAGCGCAGCTTGAATCTTAAGCGGGCGCGGACAATTGCATCGCGATTTGTTCCGGGATGCACGAATCCAAATAAACTCGCTCTAATTTAGTACGTGGCGAGTTTACGGCGGATGTTTTGGAAAATGGACGTTACGGCCAGTTTGCAGGTCGTTAACGCGCGAACATGCGGTGCGAACGCCGGTTTCAAAGCGACACGTAACGTCAAAAACATTTAACAGGAGCGTAAATCTGGATGAATCGCCATCGCAAAATTTTGTCATAAACATCGTAAATTTTTGTGTTTGGTTAATATTACTATTATTGTACGCATTAGGTTATTAATTACTTTGCACGTAGCAGCAGGTAGACGAGCCCCGTATCGCAGCTAATGTCCTTATTATGCTCTTAAATTAGGCGAAGACCCCGGACGCCGGGCTCGCAAAATTAGGTCACGCCGTTCTATCAATTTAAATTTATTGCAATTAATGCACCCTCACCCTGCCCGGTTAGCGTCGTCGACGAGAGTTTTTGTTTGAGCAAACAAGCACAACAAACAAAAACATAAAGATTTCACCCTCCGCTTAATGAATTTGACGAGGGCCCTCCTCACCTGCTTCGGTTCGAGTCCTACGTCTCAATTTTTGGCCGGCTTGCAACGATAGCGTTAGATTTATTGGGCTACCCCTTCCGCGTGACCTTTTTGTGCACAATGGCGTGTCGACGCGAGGAAAAATCCGAAACAACGCCTGCGATGGGGCGAGACTCTAGAGCGCGATAATTAACTGCACATCGGAGACGCGATAAAATCGGCGGCACACTCACTCGGAGACAATGTTTTAATTAATGAGGGAGCGGGACGTCGCAAAAACGGAGAAAAGAAGGAGCGTCGGCCCTCGGGCAATATGTACCTGTCCGCAGGCTCTGTTATCGGGCGGCTTCGGAAAGCTCGACACGAGTTAATAAAGGGAGTCGGTTCTCCCGCTCGCGAAACAAATGCACAATGGGGTCCCGAAACGAAATGAAACTATTCATCAGGGGAAGCGCCAAAAATTCCGGGCCCGAATACCTCTCACCTTGAACCGCGAACAGCTTGTTCGGAATTTCGAATTTATGTGGGCGAGCTTTGCGGAAGACAAATGCACCGAGCGCGCTTTTTCTGTCCCCGCGTGATTGATCTCCGTATCAAGGTTTACGTCGGTTTTACGTCCACTCGAAACGCTCCTATAAAAGTATAGGAGCGTTTCGAGAAATTTTTACATTTACGAACAGGGATATTCAAACTCCACGAGTCCATAAAACGATTTTAGCCGTCGTTAGTTGCAATTTTATAGACAAACAGAAAATAAAGGGGGCTTTCGGTTACGACGGCCGTATTGTCGAATGCGGATGATTTAAGCGTTCTCGGATGTTAAGTTCCCGTTTGCCAAAAATTTCCCTCGTTAAGTGGCTATACATAACTCGACCGAGCAAACGGAATTCATTTCCGTCCGATAAAAACAACAATAACTCGATAAACGAGCCCCGGTTTTCCGATTTTCTCACATTTCTCAATTTTTTGGTTCTAGGACCCCGGAGCAGTGCCCGAGTGTGGTGTCTCTTCTGGCGGAGAGCTACAACCCCCATGTTCGTTACGGAGCGGCGATGGCGCTAGGGATAGCCTGTGCGGGGACGGGGCTTCGTGAAGCCATCGCCCTGTTGGAACCCATGGTGATGTTCGACCCCGTCAATTTCGTGCGTCAGGGGGCTCTCATCGCTTCCGCGATGATTTTGATTCAACAGACGGAGCAGACGTGCCCTAAAGTCACTTTCTTCAGACAGACGTATTCACAAGTCATCTCCAACAAACACGAAGATGTGATGGCCAAGTTTGGGGCTATCTTGGCACAAGGGATTATTGACGCGGGTGGACGCAACGTTACTTTGTCGCTGCAGTCCAGAACCGGACACATGAACATGTTGGCCGTCGTGGGTGCGCTGGTTTTCACCCAGTATTGGTACTGGTTCCCGTTGTCGCACTGCTTGGCTTTAGCGTTCACCCCGACTTGCCTCATAGGTTTGAACGGGCAACTAAAGATGCCTAAGTTGGAATTGAAATCTAACGCGAAACCGAGTCTGTACGCCTATCCGCCGCCTCTAGAGGAGAAAAAGCGCGAAGAACGCGAAAAAGTCACGACGGCAGTATTAAGTATAGCGGCCAGACAGCGGCGACGGGACCACGACCGCAAGCACCGCGACGAAAAGATGGAAGTAGATGAAGACAAAGACGAAAAGAAAGGGGCGGAAGAGAAGAAGAGCGAAGAGGACAAGAAAAAGCCCGAAGAGAAGAAAACCGGGGACAAGAAAGACGAGAAAGAAGAGAAGAAGAAGGAACCAGAACCCACCTTCGAAATTCTTAATAACCCGGCTAGGGTGATGCGGCAACAACTCAAAGTCATCGCGTTGAACGACAACAGTCAGTACGTTCCTTTGAAGGACGCATCCATCGGAGGGATAGTCATGGTACGGAATTTGAAGCCCGGGGAAGAGGAAATCGTGGAGAACGTCGCAGGTGAGTATCGCATTGTGGGTGGACTTTCGATTGAAGGTAACGAGTGTCGTTGCTTGCAGCTTTCGGGCCAAAAGGGGACGACGAGAAGGAACCTGAGCCCCCAGAGCCATTCGAGTGGCTCGAAGACTAATTATCGTATCTCTATTCTGATTGTAATAGTTTAAATATGTGTATCGTAATGTTAATAAATTAAATTGAATGTGCGCTAGTTTTTGTCCGGTCGCAGACACAGAACTTCCACTTCACCGACTGTAGTTTTTAATGGTTGTCGAAAAAGTGCTCGAAAAAGTTGTAAACGATGAAAGCGTCTTGTATTGATTCGGCTGTGCATGAATGTGGAGGACCGAGCATTCAGAGCTCCGTGCCGATTTGAAATAACAAGTCGTTAATTATCCGCATCGATTTATGTAACGTTCCGCAATACGAAGAGCAGATAATCTGTAGAGAGGTAACTAGAGATGCCTTTGTAATTTGATACCGTAGGGATATCGGCGCGAACGCCTTCACGACCCTCATTACGTTTCGAGGTAATGCCGCCGGAATGAAACGTCGAATCATGGGGGCTCGCATCCATCTCGAAAACGGTAATTGGGGGAGCGATACGAGTCCGAAACGAGTTGACACCGATAAGACTACTTCATCCCGAATCAAATAAGTGACTTATGACATCCGTCCCGAAACTAGTCCAGGCGGACGTCACTGCTTTTCTCCTAACACTATTACTTCAATCTGCATATTAATCCGTGTTTTAGCTCGCCTTTAATAGGGTCGGGAGCGTGGTCACCGCAACCAATCAAATCAGAAATTGAATTCGCGTTGTTTTGAGGCTCAATCTCAGCTGCATAAAACCAAAAAGACGCCCGCCGCTTTAACGGATTTAACAATATTAAAGAGCTCTTTGAGTTATAAAATTGATTAAAACAATCATAAGTTCCCGACTAAAAGCGTCTAAATAAATTGCCTGGCATCGACAAAGGGATCCGGCCACTCGGCTCGCCTGGTTTTTATTTCTCGAGCGCAATAAGCTGTTATAAGAGGGTCTAGTTAAGTCCTAGAGCCCGAAGAAGCTGGTGTCCCGATTCGAAAGTCTCCATCTGGGCGACTGTAGTACAATCGCACGCAAATGTTTTGAGCCTATGGGCGGATCATTTTTGCCGGTCGTCACCGAAGGAGGCGGTCCAAATCGTCCAAGGGCAGAATTTGTAGGTAGGCTGAATTAGTTTTAATTTTATAAATACCCTATCTAAAATGTTCAGAATATGATGAGTCTATACTTGTGATTTACCATTCCATTAATATTTTTTGGATTTGTTTATACATACAGGGTGACTCAAAAAAAAATGACTGAGTCAATTTATTTTATTGAAGAAATCAAGAATTGCAAAACTGAATACTTTGAAATCTTGTCAATTAGTTAGAAAAAAAAACCTGTCCTGCTCTAATAACATCGAGAATATGCTCAAAATCCGACTAATATTAGGTCTAATTGTGCCGACCATAGTTATAAAATTCACATTAAAGTAAGTCACGGACATTTTTTGAAGTGTACTACAAGTCGAAGAGTACTTTCAAAGCCACGATCAAAATGTATTTGCTTATCTTCGCCAAAAAATGCATGACGTCATCGTAAAATTTGATATGATGAGTCTATACCTGCGATTTATTATTGCAGTAATATTTTTTAGATTTACTTATACAGCATATCTCAAAAAAAGCTCACTTCGATTTTCGATTTTTCGTTTTTTCGACCAACAGTTTCATCGAATTAGATTCTTCAGTTTCCATTTTTCTATCAACTTTTCGATTTTATTACTGTCTAATTTTGTGATTTTTCAAATTTGCGGTATTTTGATTTTTCGAGTTTTCAGTTTTTTCGTTTTTCGATTTTTTAATTTTTCGTTTTTTTGATTTTTCGATGTTTGGATTTTTTAATTTGCCATTCTTTCAATTTTCGATTTTTCGTCTTTCCATTTTTAGATTTTTTGATTTTTCTGTTCGTCAGTTTTTAGACTTTGCAATTTTTTTGCATTTTTCGATTATATTTTACTTTCCGATTTTTTTGATTTTTAAATTCTCGATTTTACGTTTTTAATTCTTCGATTTCCGATTTTTCAATTTTCCGGTTTTTTAATTCTTCTATTCTCGATTTTTCGATTTTCCATTATTCATAAAATTTTTCGATTTTTCGGTTGTTTTATTTTTCGACCTTCGATTTTTCAACTTTCGATTATTCGATTTTCCATTTTCTGATTTTACGATTTTTCGATTTTCGTTTTTCCGCTTTTGTGGTTTTTCGATTTTTCTGTTTGTTTCAGTTTTTATGGTTCTGCAATTTGCAGCTTTTAGATTTCAATTTTGTTACTTTCCGATTTTCCAGGTTTCGATTTTTTGATTTTTTTTTCGATCGTCGTTTTTTCGATTTTCATTTTTTAGATTTTTTGATTTTTCAATTTTTAGGCCTTGCAATTTTTTTACTTTTCGCTTTTTTGAGAATTTGTTTCATCGAATTTTCGATTTTTCGGTTTTTCCATTTTCCGATTTTCGATTTTTCGATTTTCCATGTTTAGATATTTTTCGATTTTTTTTTTATTTTTCGATTGTTCTGTTCGTCAGTTTTGAGACTTTGCAATTTTTACTTTTCCACTTTTCTATTATTTTAGTTTCGGATTATTCGATTTTTGAATTTTAGTTTTTTTTTTTCGATTTCCGATTTTTTAATTTTTCGATTTTTCGGTTTTTTAATTTGTTGATTCTCGATATTCCGATTTTCGATTTTTCGATTTTCCAATCTTCGATTTTTCTATTTCCAGTTTTCGATTTTCCACTTTTTGATTTTACGATTTTTCGATTTTTCTGTTCGTCAGTTTTTAGGCTTTGCAATTTGTTTACTTTTCGATTTTTCGATTACTTTACTTTCCAGTTTTTTGATTTTTGAATTGTCGACTTTTAGAGTTTTCAATATTATGAATTTTCGAATTTTCGGTTTTCCTATTTTTCGATTTTTGATTTTTCCATTTTTCGGTTTTTTGATTTTTCAATTCTCGATTTTTCAGTCTTGCAAATTTTCGATTTTTCAGATTTGTGAATTTCCAGTTTTTCGATCGACCTGCGTATTAAATTCATTGAATTTTCGATTTTCGGTTTTTCCATTTTTAGATTTTTGATTTTCCAGTTTTGCATTTTCAGATTTTCTGTTTTTCGCATATCTCATTTATCAAATTTTCGATTTTTCGGCTTTTCGATTTTTCGATATTTGATTTTCGAATTTTCGATTGTTCAGTTTTCCATTTTTCAGCTTCTAGACTTCAATTTTTTTACATTTCGATTTTTCAAATTTTCGAGTTTCAATTTTCAGATTTTTGATTTTTCGATTTTGTGGTTTTTCCATTTTCCGATTTTCGATTTTTCGATTTTCCATGTTTAGATATTTTTCGATTTTTTTTTATTTTTCGATTGTTCTGTTCGTCAGTTTTGAGACTTTGCAATTTTTACCTTTCCACTTTTCTATTATTTTAGTTTCGGATTATTCGATTTTTGAATTTTCGTTTTTTTTTCATTTTTCGATTTCCGATTTTTTAATTTTTCGATTTTTCGGTTTTTTAATTTGTCGATTCTCGATATTCCGATTTTCGATTTTTCGATTTTCCAATCTTCGATTTTTCTATTTCCAGTTTTCGATTTTCCACTTTTTGATTTTACGATTTTTCGATTTTTCTGTTCGTCAGTTTTTAGGCTTTGCAATTTGTTTACTTTTCGATTTTTCGATTATTTTACTTTCCAGTTTTTTGCTTTTTGATTTGTCGACTTTTAGAGTTTTCAATATTATGAATTTTCGAATTTTCGGTTTTCCTGTTTTTCGATTTTTGATTTTTCCATTTTTCGTTTTTTTGATTTTTCAATTCTCGGTTTTTCAGTCTTGCAAATTTTCGATTTTTCAGATTTGTGAATTTCCAGTTTTTCGATCGACCTACGTATTAAATTCATTGAATTTTCGATTTTCGGTTTTTCCATTTTTAGATTTTTGATTTTCCAGTTTTGCATTTTCAGATTTTCTGTTTTTCGCATATCTCGTTTATCAAATTTTCGATTTTTCGGCTTTTCGATTTTTCGATATTTGATTTTCGAATTTTCGATTGTTCAGTTTTCCATTTTTGAGCTTCTAGACTTCAATTTTTTTACATTTCGATTTTCCAAATTTTCGAGTTTCAATTTTCAGATTTTTGATTTTTCGATTTTCTTTTTAAATCTTTGAATTTTTCGGTTTTGATTTTTCGAATTTATGATTTTTAATTTTTCCATTTTTCGGTTTTTAGACTTCAATTTTGTTTCTTTTAAATTTTTCGATATTCTATTTTCCGCTTTTCAGAATTTTCGATTTTCAGTTTTCAGACTTTCGATGATTAGAATTTTGGATTTTTCAGTTTTACGATTTTTCGATTTGTAGAAAATTTGAGTAGTCGAATTTTCGATTTTTCAATTCATCGATTTTTCTATGTTCAATTTTTCAATTTAAATTTTGCGATTTTCAATTTGTCCATTGTCGATTTTTAGAATTTTCGGTTTTTCAATCTTTCCATTCTCAACTATTAGACTTCAATTTTGTTACTTTTCGATTTTCCAATTTGCAGAATTTTCAAGTTTTTATTCAGATTTTCCATTTTCCACTTTTTCGATTTTAGATTTTTCGAATTTTTGTTTTTCCAATTTTTTGCTTTTTCGATTTTTCTGTTCGTTTCAGTTTTTAGGCTTTGCAATTTTTTTTACTTTATATATTTTGATTATTTTAATTTCCGATTTTTTTTATTTTTGTTTTTGATTTTTTTAATTTTCAATATTACAAATTTTTGACTTTTTGATTTTTTGGTTTTCCCGTTTTTCAATTTTCGATTTTTCGATTTTTGAGGTTTGTGAATTTCCACTTTTCGATCGACCTAAGTATTTGATTCATTGAGTTTTCGATTTTTTGATTAGCCATTTTTCGATTTTCGATTTTTACGGTTTGTATTTTTCGATTTTCTGTTTTTTGCATATTTGATTAATCAAATTTTTGAAAAAGTTACCATGCTTACAAAAACTTCAAAACATCTACAATATTTCAAAGTATTCAGTTTTGCTATTCTTGATTTCTTCAATAAAATAAATTGACTCAGTCATTAACTTTTTTGAGACACCCTGTATAACCAAATCTAAAAAATATGAATGC